CTCATCTATGACTAGTGGATGGCGATCAGGTTTGAAAGGAGGAGAAAAAGCTTTTTCATGGAGTCACCACGTTTTGCGTTAGGAAAAATTGAAACAGTAAGATTTTTTAGCACGATTACAGGGGAGTCAGTGACACCACATTCAAGATCCTCTTTTGTTATTGTTGTTCCGGATGCATGGTGAGGGCCGTGGTTTTGGGCCCCCTTTTCGTCTCTATTAGATAAAATCTGGATGTATGGGTCTTGCTGTAAAACGAACTTCTTCTACTAACATATCCTTGTTTGCGATGGAATATGAATGTATTTACTTTAAGATGTAATACTATAATACTTGTTTTTGCTATGTAATAGAGATATAGATGGTTTTTTGTGTGTGCATACTCAAGGATTTCATGAATGGAATGTTGTGTTTTTTCTACGATGAAACAAAACATTATACTCGCATAATCAATTTGCTTCACATGAATATAATTGTATCTGATTTTTTAAGGAGGATGTACCCCGGCCTCTGCATCTGGACGATGCATGCAGCTAGGCCTGCAAGAAAAGATCGAGGCTCGTGAGCCGCTCCAGATTGACTCATTTTTTGACTCGACTTGAGATCGACTCGAAAAGAAACAAGCTGAGTTTGAACACTTTGTGTAGCTCGGCCGAAAAATGAGCCGATCTTGAGCCAATGTTGCCTCGCTCGATTTTAGCTCAATAGCTCGACAGAATATCATTATGTTAAATGATCATGCCATATATTAAATGAAAATAAGATAATTTATTATCACATATGTTGTTCATGATTTTCTTCATTTTATTTACCAACGGACATGGTAACTTAATTAAGTGCAGAGAAAATTTAGGCCTAATTATGGCACGTGGTCGACTATGTGCTAAATATCCTTTATTTTTGGCAAAGATTCCCAGCAATATTCACCTTTTTTTTTGTTTTTCATCCATAGATTTATAATTTTTATCATCTTATTTAGCTCGAAACTAGCTTGAGATCGACTCGAAATCGTTACAAGTTGAGCATGAGTCATGTTCTACAGCTCGATCATGAGCTTCTCTCAGTTTAAGCTTGCTCGAATTTTCATATGAGTTGAGTTGAGCCAACTCCAACTCGCTCGAGCTCGACTCGTTTGCGGCCCTACATGCAGCCATAGTATTTATTATTCACAAAGACCATACAAAGTGATACATCAATAAGCCTGAAGCCACCATCTTGACAACACCGTTGCTACTCCTATCCCCTTGATGAAGGTGTGCCGAATGTCCGGGCCTAATACCAAACAGACATCGCACCAAAGCCTAACATCTAAAGCCGGGTGTCCCATCCAAGCCACTACCTGAATTGGGTACCACACCAGTCTGGCACACTTCCAGTGAGCACCGCACGCTGCAAGGGCCGTCACCTCCATCATCCCTCGGTCCATCCTCAAAGCAGAACTGAAGCATCGACCTTGTCAGGCCTCTCTGCCATCAACGCCACCATGACGCCAGACAGCTTCCTCCTCCTGCGTGAGTCCTTCTCCGCGCCTCAGACGTCGAGTCTCCACAGCGCCACGCCGCCAAGATCCGCCACCATCAATGGGTAAGATGAAGCACCACTCCACCAAAGACGCCATCCTCCGGTCCCTCGAGCCCGTGTGCATCTCCAAGAATGATGCCCCCAAGGGGGAAACGACACCAGAGAGCCGCCGTCATCCGATCTACTGATCTAGGGTTTCCCCCAGAGATAGCAAAGAGTGTCCTTGAATTTCTACACGGCGATGCCTTCAGAAAGGGAACAATGCAAATAGCGTCGCCATCGCCGGCCTTGGCAATAGCCAATAGCAGGTTTTCACCCAAATCTGATCGAAGACCTCCATCTCACGTGCACGGGTCGACGCCATCCTTGCCGGGATCTGGATGATCCAAGCCGTCGCTGCCAGATCTTAGCAAGGAGAAGGCCCCCCACCGAGACTCCGCCCTCGCCACATCAGCACCAAGACTCCGCCGCGCTACCGCATCTCGCGCTACAGCCGCATGCCAGGAGGAAAGGGCCCCTCCGCCGCTGATGCGCACCGGGCTTCGCCGGCGGCGCCTTCTGACGGCGGCGAGGGGAAGGGATGGTGTAGGAGGCGGGCGCAGGGTGGGGCCTAGGGTCCCCCGCCGCCGCCCGCGAGAGCGACGTGAGGGACGAGTCAGCCGATAATGCAAGAGCGACGTGAGGGACGAGTCAGCCGATAATGCAAGAGCGACGTGAGGGACGAGTCAGCCGATAATGCAAGTTATAGCCGATAATTGTATCTGATGCATGAGATGAATACCACTCATTCGTGTAGGGGGTAGATAGAGCATAGAGCCACCTCCAAGATTGCCATAATGGAATAAGAAAACCAGTATGTTGTGGCTTAACAACTACAGTAGATTTTTGGACTACCAGTTATTTATTACAAAGGTTAGATGTTTGTCTCTTTTTCCTCAGAAAAAGTGATTGTTTGTGCACTGCAATTTGCAAGTCGAGAGGTTCGGAAATCTTGACTACTCCCTCGCTCCCAGTTTACAGGACGTGCGCGTACCCCTTGATCATCAATTTGACCAATATAATACAAGTCATATATTACAAAAAAATATAACAATATAAACTTCAGATGTTCTATTTTTAAGGTATAATTTTTGTATTATATAGTTTATAGTACTAGGGTGAGTAATTATTTTCGCTGCAATTATTTACTTATGTCTTGCATCTGGAAATTAATATATGATGTTATTTATTGCCTCATAAATCATAATTAGATGAATGACCAAATAATTTTTTACTTTGTTAGACCTGCGTTGCACGTCCCAGCTTAGTTAAGGGAAGGAGCTGAGAGGCTCCACCTCCATCGCCACCAGCGGTCAGCTGGTAGTTTCCACTTTCCACCAGCGATGGCGAGAAAGGGACACGACGGTTTGAGCTTAGGGTTTTAAAAGGAGGATTTTGGCAAAGATATTTAGTTGGGATGTCCTATTACGGAAGGAATGTACAATCATTCCACCTATCATCCATAGATGAAGCAACACTCGAAGAAGACCGGAGCTGAAAGGCCCCACCTCCACCAGCAATGAGGGAAGGGGGATTTAGTTCCTCTCTTGTATGAACAGAATGTACAGTCATAACATGTACTCGCTTCGTCCGAAAATACTTGTTATCAAAATGGATAAAAAGATATGCATCTAGAGCTAAAATACATCTAGATACATCCTTTTTATTCATTTTGATGACAAGTATTTTGAGACGGAGGGAGTAGGAGAGAGAGACTAATTCCTTATCACATTCTTCATAGTAACAGACAAAAGTACAGTCCTCTTTTGCAACTTACAACTGAACATTGCCCGTCGATATAACCAAGTTCGTTCAGAACTGCACATCATCAGTAAATTATCCAACAATTCACCACTGGCAGCGTTTGAACAGAATGGTAAATCACTCCACCTTTCACAAAACATGCAAGACTTCGTTATCTCAACCTTCAGAGTAAAAGAAAATGTACATCCCTTATTTACAGGCTACAGTTGAACATTTGTTCAGACACCTACACATTATCAAGAAGAAAGAGTAGAAAAATACCCAACAATTCACCATTTCCAGCCTCTGATTTTGAACAGGAGTCTGAATTTCTATGGGAATGATTGTTAGACTGGATGCAGGAGAGAAACAGAGCTAGACGGGGCTAACAGAGTCATCGAGCGGGTCCGCGTGCACGGCCGGCGGTGGCAAGACCAACGCCCGGCACACGGGGCATGTCGGGTGCCCGGTCTTGAGCCACTTGCCGATGCACTTCTCATGGAACCGGTGCCCGCACCGCGGCAGGTCCCGGAGGGCCTGCTCCTCCCGCATGCCGGCGAGGCAGACGCAGCACTTGTCCTCGGCGCCGGCGGGGCTGCCGCCGCAGCCGCTCTCCTCGTCCTCGTCGTCGCTGAGCCCCAGGAACGACTTGGTGGCCGACATCGAGTCGGGCGTCTCCGGCGAGAGCCAGACGACCATGACGACTATGTTGGCGAGGCAGAGCGCGTAGGCGACGACGTCCGCCTGGCTCCGCTCGAAGACGACGATGATGAGCGGGACGAACACCATGAACACGAAGGCCAGGCACCGGTTGGCCAGCAAGGCACCCGCGGCCGCGGCGGCGCCAGCTCCGCTCGACGTCTCCAGCAGCGGGGTCAGGACGGGCGGGGATCCGTCGTCGTGCTGCTGCGACGTCGACGGGAGCAGCTCGGCGCGGGCGCCCATGGTATGGCGGTACCACCGGGCGAAGCAGTAGAAGAGGAAGATCTGGAGGGCGAAGCTGCCGGCGAAGGTGGCGGCGACGACGCCGTAGTAGTCGTACGCCAGGCGGGTGGCCAAGAGCAGCGTGAGGAAGGTGAAGGGGAGGTCCAGCCACGGTAAATCCATCGCCGCCGCGCCGCCGGCAAGGCTGCGCGCATCACACTCGCGCGCTGACCGGGATGCGATTTCTTTCCTTAATTCTCAGCTGGAATGATCCGTGGAAAAACAGTATGGTGGGGGAATTCGCTGGAGTCTACCCCCTCGCTGATTTTCCTCTTTCTTTGGCGAACAAGGGAAGAAAATTAAAGTTGAAGAGGGCACTAATGAGGCGTTAGCTTCCACGTAATCAAGTGTTTATCAAGCAAGCGACCGGCAGACTAGTCTCGGTTTCGATATTAATAGAAAATTGTCCGTGGTCCCTGCATTGCAAGGGAGGTATGGATGAATTTTCTATCCAATCAGTGTGATTTACATTCCATTTATTTATGTCAACATGAATACTTATCAAAAATATACTTTAGCGTGAACTAAATTGTGCTTAGACGGTTAGGAAGACAGTGATATTCACAGCTCATCAGAGCATTTTTCTAGATTTATTTCAAGATTTTCGGCGATGCATGTTTACTGCAAGAAGACGTTTTCGTTAACTACAAGGCGCCTACGATGACTTCATAAATCTCAACATGAATACTGTGTTAAAAAATAAATATACTTTAGCTACCAATTAATTTGATACTTATTGAATTACCAAAGATATGACAATTTTCTTGCGAATTCTTTGGGTTGGAACTAGCCCATAAGGGATTCATAGGGGTGAGTAGGCATCTGCGATGTATTGTGTTAAATGAAAACACAGTTTTACTATCTTTTTTCTGGTTCATTATGCTCATGCATACCTCTAGATCGACGATTTGATTAATATCATACAAGTTACTAGCAAGATGCCTGTGCATTGCACGGAATATCAAGTTGCGTTTTTTTTACAAAACACCTGGTGTCGTTGACCAATGCAGGAGTAATCTCGTGTGTAAAAACTAATGATATCTCGAGAATTTCATCGAAAAAATGTTATCTCGAGAAAGATGAGAGATAAGGTGAGGAGGAGTGGGGCGCGGTGGTGATTGGTGGTCAGACTTAGCGGAAGCATGGGGATGGACGACGCCGACAGCGGCCACCATGCCAGATTGTTCCAGATGCTTCTATTTTTAATTACTCAACAATGAAGTTGTGAGAGATAAGGATGAACGAGAGAGGTGCGGGTATCCTTTTGCAAAATTGTCATAGTTTGCTTTCTATCCGTCAGATATAGATCAGACGGACTATATTACAAGATGGCAGGCACACCATCATCACCAACTCGATTTTTTATAAGAGTAGAGATATATATTAAATAATTATATCATTAGAAATTTGATATGTTTTATTTTCTAATGGTATAACTTTTCCAATATGTAGTTCACATTATGTTGCTAAAACTGGTGACTTAGAGACATGCGCAGGATGTATATATCAACCGGAAAGGAGAAAGTCTTTGGTAGGCCAATAAGGTATGGGGCAAATAGCTATATGTCTCTTCTCCATCTCTTTCAGAAAATAGGCGGCTACGCTTTCATGGAAGTGTCGCCGCTGGTTCTCTTTGCCTCCAGGTGCCTTCCGACGTCAATGAGGTAGGGGAAACCTTGGTTTGGGGATCGATCGTGTTTGGGTCGCTTTTAGCTCGATCTAGGTATCTGGTCAGTGTTGGCGAGGCAATAGCGTCATTGCTGGCTTGGGATAAGTTCTCCCGTATCATGCCCTTGTATTAGCGATGCTTCAGTGGAAGGTGTGTGAAGTTTTGATCATGGCTTGTTCTTGTCTATGTGTTTTGTAAGTGGTCTTGAAAGGCGTCGTTCGGCGGAGTGGATGGCAACATTTCCTGTTTTTGTCTTCTTGCTTCTTCTTCGTTCGGTGATACATGACCAGCTTTGGCTTCGATGGGAACCTGGTGAGCTACGGTATACAAGCCCTCTCCGACATTTGTTCTCCAAGGTGGCGACATGCTCCAGGTCATGACAGTCGACGTTTATTGGTTTACACTGATGACTTTTTGGTTGCTGCTTCTACAAGCTCATGAGTTTTAAGAAGTTTGCTTCACAGAGACGAAGGCCGATAGGTGGTAGTGAGCTCTGTTCATGGACACCGCGGCTGAATCTTGGAGGAAGAAGACTTCGGAATCCCAAGGACTTGGATGTATTTTCCAATCTAGGTAAGGATTCATGCTACTTAATATATGTACTCTTTTGCCTTTCCGCAAAAATAAGTCATGAGACAGTTGAGACCATTTTCTAGAAAAACTGAGAAAAAAATCAAAATATAAGTGATGTGAGGGGAGGACAAATAAAATAAAATAAAAAGTATGCATTTCTTAAATAGGATATATTTTCCCACTCGCTGTGATTCGCTATGTTCGCGGTTGTTGTGATGTGTCCACTTTGAATCTTCTATCGTAAACGATTCTTTAAGGGGGAAAAGGCAATGCTCTGTTTTGTACTCTGTGATGGATATCTACGTCGTTACTAATACGGCGGCAGATGATCTCGACCGCTAACGGGGGATGTGACGATGACAGACTGATGAATCAAGAGCTTCGCCGCAACTATCCCCTGTCTCGCTTCATCCCTCCGTTCCTTGATCAGAGCATGCCAGCTTCACCCACTTTGCGTGCAATGAATGGCGACCTAGCTTCACTGTCAGATGTCAAAACACGGTGCGACCTCCCGATCGAGTAAGCGGTCGGCGAAAAACAACTCGGCTGCGGTGACGGACGCAAGTGCAGGTTTATTACGGGCGAGAGGTTTCACCAAACGGATAACGACGATTCTTTCCCCGGGCGTCGCCGTCAGTGCTAAGTGCTAACCTGTCGCAGAATGCGGCCAAGTGGTGCGTGGCGTGAACTGTGAGGTGCGAGCTTTTGTCTCGGCGCACGAAGCAGCAACGCGGCATGCCGGCCGGTCACCGCCGACAGCTGACAGGGCGAGGGTCGGTGGTGGCGAGCATGGATAAGTACGTGCAGGAGGAAGCGAAAGCGATGGCCTGGCAGCAAAATGCTCTCTTGCGATGTCAGCAGCTCAAAATATCTGATACCTAAACTGTTTACTATTGGCTTTGGTTTGGTCAACAATATCCGAGAGATGTCACCAAAGTTCGGCCCGATCCGGCCGACAAATAAACAACACCACGGAGTTGCTCGGGTTTGGGATGGTGAAAAATTCCCGTTGCAGATCTTTTTCTGTAGAGCTATTCAATAGCTAGTTGGAATTGGTACAACTTATTTTATCTACGTGTTTGGTGCATGTTCATAATTGCGGTGTAGATGCATGCACATGTTCATTCTCTAGCTATTTGTTATTCTTTTTATAAATGAAGGTTTTATTAACTCACAGTATAACATCAAGCAATACAAATATTGACAAGCAACACCCGATCTCTACATAAATAAGATGCAAGATAGCCAAACACCAACAATTTGATGAAATATAATAAAAAAAAGACATATCGGAAACAGGAGAATCATATAGGACCCACGTTATGCATCTGTCAAACGAGGTGGTGAACCGATCCAGAGATTATGCTACCATCCACATTGGTTAAAAATCTCCCTGGCCACCCGCTCCAACCACATATACACTATCTTGACCAATGGTTAGAACTACGTTCGGTGTACATAGACCATGTACAAAGTAAGTTCGTACAACAGATAATAGCCTGCAAAGGAGAATAATTGTTGCCACTAAAATAAAAGCCAAATCATTTTTACATAGCCAAAGCGATAACAATATGGTATAAGCCCCGCCATTATTAGCATTCTCAACCTATTTAAAATACTGTGCAAATAATGATCAAAAATATTGACAACCCTTGTGGTCGGATACAAACTGGATGCTATTTGGACTACTAACCACGTAAATCGCACGAGCTTGCGCCCAAAAAGGTCTTTGATTGTCTTGTCGTGAGTATAAAAACTACACTTCTTGCTTCCTTATCAATTGTAACGCTAGATGTTGTTTTTGGTTAGGACAACCCCCTTCCAGAGATACCACATAAAGATTTTAGCTTTTATTGAATTTTTTGACTTGCAATTTTTTGTGTTTTTATCCACTGAAACCTCTGAATGCGTGAGCGCATGGTACATAGAGTTGACTGTGCAAGACCAAGATGTAGTGAGGTTCCAGCGAAACACGTTTCTTCTTTGTGTCAGGTTAATCAAATCCAACCGGATAAAATATTGCCATGACGTAAGACGGGGGCCAATCGAGTCCGGCCTGAAAGAAATATCCGGCGGGAATGAACTAGAACCTGCGCAATAATATCATTATTATTGTGAACAATGTGGTACAACGACATAAACGTGCTTCAGTGATCTCCATTGTTCAATATATTTTGTGATAGAGATGCTATGACCTGCAACTACGCCATCCACGGGCACAACTACACTATGGGGTACTACCTTGAAAATGATATCTATCCTCAATGGGCGGCATTTGTGAAGACTACCCTTGATCGCAAAGATAACAAATGATCTCTCTTTACATAAATGCAAGAGGGTTCTACAAAGGATGTGGAGAGGGCTTTGGGGATGCTCCAAGCTCATCGGAGTATTATTTGTTGGAGCATATGTGGATTCACATTGAGAATTATTAAATTATATGTTTGAACTATGCACTTCAAATAAAACTTATATCGGAACTACGTATTTTTCTCTCAGAAATAACTTTATTTGTGTGCCTTCATTCCTTTTATGTGTGTTCGTACCGTTCTATGATCAACATGCATGTGTGGTAATTTTCAAAGCGAAACGCATAAAGGATGGAAAGTAGTCGTCGGAGTCCGGGGCATCCGTGACGAAGAAGTTAGTAGTCGCGCTGAGCGCTCCCCAAAAACCTTATCACCCTTCTCCCGTACAGGACTCAAAAGGTGCGGTCTCGGAGGCCTACTGTCCCGACCTGCGGTGCACGCCGCAAGCCGGGATGGGGAAGAACGTAGCAGCAGCGCAGTGCTCAGGAACTTGTGGCGAGAGGAAGAAGAGATTCTGGTGCGGTCTCTCTGGGAGGAGCGACCTCCCTTTTATAGGCGCAAGAGAAGGAGGC